CAACAACAACAACAACAACAACAACAACAACAACAACAACAACAACACGCGAGGCAGCCGACCGTTTGGTCGACGTTGTTTGTTTGCTCCAGATGACGGAACTCAGAACCCCATCTGGCATTGGTTTTGGGAATGTTCTTCCTCTCTTGGAGGGACAACCAGACTGACAAGCCCTACAAACGCTTCCAATGCCATGGCCGTTTTCTCGGGGTGTGGCACAAGGTGCCAAGAAGTTATGTCACCTCACAACCCTCGCCTGGCACTGAATGGGCTAGGCATGTTGAAATTGTTTGAAAGAACGGACTCTGTGCCAGGACATGTTCTGAACCCTTGGCTGATACTTGTTTTCAAGACTGTGTGGCAAGTGTTTGAAGGACCTATGGGGAAAGGGATCCTATGATTCATGTTCATTGTCTTCTTCATTCAGTCGTAAGTCCCCTGCCCTGTGAAAAAACAAAGAGCAATGTTTTCCCTCAAGTGTTTCTCCGCTTGAGTTCCGATGTCGCAGTTCCAGGTCGTTCTTCGTCGATCCCAGGAATGTCCGGATGGAAATGCGCCTGAAAAATCGCTCCATCGACTTGGAAGCCGTCTCGGCCTCTCGGTGCAGAAAGGGACCTCGCGCGTGCTTCGGCGGTTGCGTGGCGTGTTCTCCACCCTCTCCCCAGCGGAGGCGCCTTCCTGGGAAGGCCTCCAGTCGGACCTTCGTTTCGAAGGTGGGAGGTGGGTGGGTTCGTCCAGTCATACCGAAGTTGAGGAGGTACGACTGGAGGTGTAGGGATTGTGTTTATGTGGAATGAGGATCCGCTGGATCCTAAGTGATCTATACTGATACCTGGATCTTCTAACTGTTGCAGCAAAAGTGCTGACTTTTGGTTCGGAGATTTCCTCGCAGACAGCACTCCCGGAACTCAAATGCTTTTGGGAACATACCCTGGGACCCCCCCCGTCAGAATATATAATAGCACCTTGACACAAGTGGACATCGTTACATCGTTCGGACCTAGAATGCAAGATCTCAATGTGGGCTGTTGTAATAACCCCGCGCTCAGCGGTTTACTATTGGCATGCACCTTATCACTACTAATGCAATCCTACTAATGCTTTATCCAAAATGCAGGGCCTGATGCAACCCCGGTAAAAAGGAGTCCTGATGTTCAGGGACTGGCCTCAAGAGGCAGCCTGGCCGTGGCCGGACCTGCTTGACACGAATGACCCCACTTGAGAATGACGATGTTGAAACGCTTCAGGCTTCCAGCTTGGCCTTCCAGGTTGGCCTTCCGTTGATGGACATGTCTTCTTCTCTCAAAGGCCATTGGTCCAGAGTAAAACCAGATATGTACATGTTTCCGATGATCATTCAGGTTTCTGCAACAGATTATCTTATTATTCCATATCGCTCCTCTTTTTCATTTGATCCAATGAGGCACTTCTCTTGGGCTTTTGTGATGCAGTCGTCGAGCTGCTTGGCAGGTTGTTGCCGGAGGTCCACTCAATAATACACTCCTCTTGCTTCCACTCCAGAGACTGGCGTGACCTTATATAAGGTGCTAGACACATTCTAGGCATGGCCTGAAGGGAGATACTTGCCTGGTACGAAGGGTTTCGCTGATTTCAGCCGGATCTTCCACATCTTTGGGCTACACCAAAAGCCGATATGTTTCATGCTTCTGAAAAACCAACGGAGGTTGAGTCGGACCCTAGTTCGCCTATCCCAGTTGGGTACCCCAGGTGACAGGTCCTAGAATGTGGTCACTGGATACCTCTCTTGGAACTTTCTTCAAGCAATAACTTGTCCGGTTTGTTGCAGCTGGTGCCCCTGGATCGATCATTTTTGATCCCCGAAGCGGGTTTGCCCGAAGCTGTGCCCGCGCTGTGGGACACCTGACCGCGTCGCGCTGTGGGACAAACTCATCTCCACTCATCTCCATGACCGTGGCTATGCAACGTATGTAAGTCTGACAAATTGTTCCAGATCAGAGGACCTCGGCATGGGGGCAGAATGATGTTGCTACAGTGCTGGAGGTTCGATCCCTGGCCCACCGAGGTATAGGAGGTATAGGCCAGAAGGATCGAAACGGAGTAGGTCATAGAAATACGATCCAACCCTATCCTAATAGGGTAGGTCATAGAAGCCTGAGCCTAGGAGGTATAGGCCAGTAGCCGGATCCTTGCGGTTGGTCACCGCTTCATCGGTCAGATCCTTCCCGGGTCGCCGACCGACGGTTCGCCGCCAGGATTGACGACGAACTACGCTTGACCGAAGCGTGGCGGAATGGGTGTGTTCGTGGCGAGTTCGTGTGGAAGTGTCGTCCCAGACAGGTGACAGGTCCATGGGATTTACAGATTCATATACATTTGAGCATAACTTCTAAGAACAGCCCAATGCCAGTCATATAGAGTGGTCTCCAAATGCATTCCAAAACATTCTTAGTGGGGATCTACTTTTCTATCTATTTTGGGGTATGAGTGCGAAGTGCAGGTATTCGTGGATGGTTTCCATTGCATGAAGCTGCAACATCGTGGATGGACTTACCACTTGGCAGCGTATTTCACTCGGCAGCGATGCCAAATTTTGTGAATGAAATTTGTTCATGGCAAAAGAAAATTGTTCAAATTCCCTTGGGCACACCCAGGTGGATTACAAAAAGCAAAAACACGTTACAGGTGGTTTTATCATGTTGACAAACCAGTTTTTGGGACAGGATCTGGAAATTCACTGGAAATCATTTAATTCAATGCTTGCAGAGAGTTGTTCAAACTTGCTCAGACATGCAGTTGTGGCTCCCCAACATGTTGGTTCCTTCATCTATCCTTTGCTCTCACTCACTGAAAACTCTACACCAGAAGCACTGATTGCACCCATGCACTCTATGCATGGTCTAAAATATACCATGTTTGGAGGTGCCACCATATTATGCTTGCAATTTGTTGTAGGTTTGCTCACTTGAATCCATGGAGCAGCAGCCGCATTGGCTGCGCTAGTGAGTGAAAAGTAAATTTGGTGATGAAATTTGATCTGCTAGGTGGATGTTCAGGCCAGCTGAAAGCTGTCCTGGATTTTTAGCTCCGTGACAGTGACATGTTTGACATAGGCCTTCACTCGTGTCTGGATGGGCCTTAACTCGTGTCCCAATCATGCCAGATGCAGCGATGCGTGTCTTGCAATCACGACTCTATCAGCATTGGAAATGATCAAAATTCAACATAGAGAAGGATCACCGCGCTGGTGAGTGAAAATAGATGCCGTATGATCCTATGTGGATTGTCAGGAAGCTGAAAGATAACTGTTTGGAGTTGTAGCCACGCTGCATGGTCTTAACCGAGTCTCCACTGCAGGGAAGGAACACATATTGGTGACTTAACTGAGCCAAACTAACATTACACCTTCAGGCTGCCAACAGGTTTTTTCCACATTCACCATGGTTTCCTGCCAAAAAACATGGATCAACAAATACACAATTAAACTACTCATGAAATTTGCTGGGCAGGCGAACTACTCGGGTATGCACAGTAGTCTTTGCACTCAGTTGCCTTCAATCTGGCTGTCAAATATCTGGACCTTGGGCCCCTGAAGCAAGAGTCCTTCCCCCTGATGGTTGTGTTCCTGAACTGGGTGCATTCCCTGGCATGGAGATGGGGTTTGTTTTTCATAAAGTATGTTTTCCCTTTTTTTACACACAACAAGTCCAAACTGACTATATGAACAACCCTCCAAATGAGACCTGTTGAAGAGTGTTCGCATATTTCTTACACCAAGCATGTTTGTTGCAACGTTTGGGCAACCCATGTGGCACCACCGCTCAGGAAGACTCTCGCCAGCTGTCCACCATGCTGCTCCAAGGTTTGGGCTTCCGCGAGAAATGCGGTGAGTGAGGGATGTGTTTTTGATACGGGTGATCCCCAAATAGATAGGATTGAGAGGACCAATGGCACAGACCCCAATGTGGGTGGTTTATATGGACCCCCATCTGTCGAACGGACATCATGGGGTCTGTGCCATCTACTCTGAAACCACTGTAGCGGCACGGTGTCCAAGACGTTTTCTACGTGGGGATTTACGAACTTCTATCTATGACAGAAAGTCTTTAATACAACGGGCAAATGATCTCCAGCAGTTTCCTTCATCCCTCAAAACTGAGTCACTTGGAAAACAGAGGAGTCGAAGTGACCCAGTGACCCTCTTTCGGACACTTTGCGCATCCACCACGCAAACTGTTAGATGATTGGACACATGCAACTAACACCAACCAACATCAACCAACATCCACCCAGTCGTGCCAACACCAACCAACATTTGGTCCCCAGTCCGTTCGACGAGGCCGATCGGGGCTTGGCCCTCACAGGATCGACCGCCGTGATCGATGCATCGGACAGTGCACCATCCTTCGAACACCAAGGCTTTAGGCTCCCAAGGCTCACCTGGATATCTATGGTGCTTTAACGTGAATGGCACGGCCCCGAGTGTCGGATGACCAGGGTGTTCCTGCCTACCCTGGGTAAACAGGGGTGAACTCTTTCATTTCACCTCCATCCGATGGGGATTTCCACTACACCATGTCACGAGCCGAAGTGCCAATGTCACAAGATGTCACAAGTGCCTCTTTTTTGAGATCCGAAGATCTCTTTCGTGGTGGTTGGGCGACACGTTGTTCAGTTTTTCTTCTGGTTTAGTTGGTGTTCTTTTTGTAATGCAGATTGGACAACACCGTTTCTTCGCCCTCCCTTTTCCAAAAAGACTTCTTCGCTGAAAGACAAGCACCCTCGCACCCTCACCACTCCTTCGGCACGACGGTGGTTCGGCACTTCCGTCAGGGCAGGGCACGCGTGCTGGCTTGGGAGGGCGAGACATCTTGAGCTTCTTCTGCAAGGCGCGGCCGAACTCGTTGAAAGGGTGCGTCCACTGGTCGATGGAAGCGAAAGGAAAAAGCATCAGGGTGTAAAAGATGCAATGCAAATTCAGACAAAGGCTGTGGTGGTGTAGGATTGATTCATCTGAGTTGTTTGAACATCACCTCGGAGGTTTCAACATCACCTGTTAGATCAGGTGTATTGAGTCATCGCCTCGGTTCAGAGTTCACCTTGGTTTGTAGGAAGATGACTGGGATGACCATTCTTAGCTTTAAATGTTTGATATGGAGAGTTGATGTCGTTTCTAAGTCAATGATTCAATTTTTGCTTGTTTAAAGTGTAAAGAACCGTTCTTTCCGATGGTGAAGGCGTGTTCCTATCGACAGCAGGATTGAGCTTGAACTATCGACAGTGACAGGATGGCTAAACATATGAATCCAGATGCCTGAGCATCAGATTGAGAAATGGTCATTGGGTTGGATGATCCGCACACCCTTTGGTAGAAGCAGACACATTGAGACCTGGAAGAAAGAAGAGCGAGAATCTCCAGCGACTCCTTCCGCACGCGCCAGGAGGATCGCGATCACATCAGGCGGCGCTTGGGGATTTGGCGGAGAGAGCATTGCCTCTTCGGTGATGGCAGAGTCTGAGAGTTGATCAAACCAAATCTTCTAAAACTCCTCCTTATATAATCTTCCAGAAACTGTACTAGACTTTAGCTGTATCAACATGTCCTACTGGACCACTCAGTACAACATATATTGCCGAGATCAGGCTAGACCTATAGTATACCCAGACACTCCATGGGACTGCCATATATGCCGATCAATTGACCCCCCTGGCACCACCCCAACTGATCGGCATAATATACATGGAGTGTCTGGGATAGACTTGTGAGTGTGTATGTGTTGCCGTGTCTGAGACCATTGTGTCTCAGAGATCGGAACCTGCGTTCAGAGACATCACAGGCAATCCTTCGAGAACATCCACCGCCCTCAGATGACCACCGCGCTCAATGCGCGGATGTTGGATTCCTTGGGTCCCTTGGAAGTAGGGCGATGGGGTGAGGTTGGGCATCCTTTGAGTTGTCCCTAGGCCCTAGGGATCCACCACCACCAAACCTCAGGTTCGGTATGCAGCTGGTGGAGTTGTTTCTGTTGGTGAACATGATGTTGGACTGAGTGTTGGACTGTTCATCTACCTAGTTGGACAGTTGTAAAGGCGGGGATTTCCGAGACGTCTGCCAGCCCTGCATCCGGGTTCTTCGCACACTGCCATCCTGGTTCTGTAGCCCATCTTCTATTCTTCAGAATTACCTCACCTCAACGCCTTGCTGATGTCAGGGAAAAGCCGGTTCACTACTAAGCTTGTGGGACTCTATGTCATAACTGCCAGTTCAACAACAATCTCACGGATCTTTTTTGGAGCATCCAATAGAAATGCCGGGGATTGGAACCACAACCAGGGGAGACATTTCAGGAAACATGGTGCGAGTGGAGCTCCTTCACATCCAGTTCTGCAACGTGGACGGGGAGCAGCTCCTCAGTTTCAACTTCCGCGCTCGTCGAAATGGAGCAGCGACGAGCAGCGTCATTGATCGCATAGGACATCATAGGTCTCTTGGTTTATGAGGGATAGGCAAATTGTAATTCCACATACACATACACATATCATCGGACAAATCTATGGACATTGACGACTTCTAAAGACTTTGCTGCATCAGGGCTCGTCGGTGTGAGAGTACCAGGGTGGGCCGGCCAAAAACGAGGTGTGATAGCTACTGCTGATGACTTGCCATTCTATTCAGGACTCTGGACGTGAGAAAATCCACACTAGATGTTCCTCATCTGGTCTTCAAAAGGACTCCCAAATGGATCCAAATGGGTTGACTCGATGTTTTTTCTTGTTCTCCTCTCCCATTCCAACTCCTAAGTGTGTTGACTTCCTTTATTCAAGGACCGTCCCGTCACAAATTCTGCCGCCAGACGTCGACGAACCAGGTGCCATTTGGTGGGCATGCGCGAGTTCCAAGACGTGGCCAGCATCGCGCCCCTCATGGACGATCGGGAGATCTCCTGGGAGAATGCACCTCGACCGGGGGCCGCACGCGGAGCGGGGCGCCCGAGAGGAACGCTTCGGGATCCCGGCGGAGCCGACACCTTCGGGGTCGAAGCCTCAAGTCAGGCTTCGATTGGGCCTCGAAGCAAACTATATCTCAAAACGATGGTTTTTGAGGGTCCGGATCCTGATCGGGTTGTGAGACAGAGCCTTCCAAATGGCTTTTCGTAGTCATCTGCCAAATGGTTCTTCCAGATTCCGTGAGAGCATGTCCTTGTTCTCTCCTCAAAACATGATGAGTGCCTTTAGGCAAGCCTGTGGGAAATTCAAGGCGCGACAGTGTGCAGCAGTTGTTCTTGGCCTACCATACCAATGGCCCCAAGCGATCAAACAAGAGGTCCGGCAGGTCCTGCAGTCATCATCCACAGGTTGTTAAAGAGGACCCCACAGACTGTGGATGGCTGTAACCAGTTGGGTCCCGAGACATCGTACAGCATGACTAAATAGGTTTCACCGCTGACCTACAGACCCCAGCCTGAGGCCATCCACGAGATCATCCGCAAGGCGGTCAGCTGTTGTTGCGGTGAGCGGAAAGCTGCACCTGCGCAGCTTTTGGAGGATCAATTCGAAAGGGGTCACATGCCACTGCATCGACGAACCAGTGGTGTTCTGGTGTTTCCTCAGCTTTTGCTGTTCCGAGTTTTTCCTTCTAAATTCAATCATTGCCTGCCAGATTGTGATGGTCCTTCCTCCTGCCGTAGTGCTGCTCTGGCCATGTTGCCTTTTTCTTTGTCAAATATTAAAACATGTAACAGCCAGCACATAGTGAACAGTGAAATTATGGCGCTTTGTGGACGCTCAAGTGTCACGTGTTTGGACCAACGAGCAACCAGGTGAACGGAAGATGAAAGGGTTTAAGAAACAAGAAAACGCGATCGCGACATATTGCCATGATGAGGGATCAAATCGGTGTCTCTCGTTATCCGAAAACAACATTGAAAGCTGCCATGAACCTTGATCCCAGGACCAAGTGGTTGGATTGTAAAATACATGACATGTCTTTGCCTGTGGGGAGAATGGGCTTGACATTTTCTAGGGCTCCAACTACCTCCTTGAGAAGATGATTGGGGGCATATTTACCAACATTGACCCTTAAGACATCTTAAAACCACCCCAACGTTGGATCATGTCAGTCCCACCCTTAAGACATCTTTACCTATATATACATATAATGTCAGTTCCCATGCATTCTTGGGCCATGCCCTTGCGCTCGCTTTTGGCCAACCCCCCCCGCTCTTGGTGTCAACAACGGCCTCCTGGACCGCCCGCGCTGCGCGATGCCTCGACGACCCTCATCGTCTCAGGGCGAGACCTCGCTGGTCTTCGATGCGCACAGCTTCGACATCTTGGCGATGAGCGAAGGCCAGCGATGAGCGATGAGGGAGCGGAGTCGCTTCAGAGACTGACTGGATTAGTCCCACCAACCGGACTTGGGATTGGTCGAGTGTTGCCCAACAGTCTGAAGTTCATGGAATAAACCAAGCATGATGAGCAAACCTTCAGACAAACCATTGGACTTGGGACTGGAATTTTGGTTTTACCCCACCTTGGGGTTGTCATAAATAGGGCAAATATATGCTTGATGGATGCTTTCTGGGAAAGGGTGTTGCTTTTTGGGGGGCAAGACTGATCGGGCATCAGAAGAGACGCCTGTATCATACTTCGATTCGTCCGGGAGCCGCATGGTGGCGGAAGAGACACTTTCTGCGGCTTTCGCAAATGCAAAACAGGCATGTCAAAGGATTGGAATTGCATGGACTTCCGTAACTGGTGAACCGTCCGGTGAACATGTGAGCTCTATCTCAGACCTAAGTGAACCAAGGCACAAAGCTTCTGGTCATAAAAAAAAAGACACGTCGTGGAATCACTGCGTCTCAGCTGGGTTTTGATCTTTGAGACCTCTACTCCAGACACCAGGCTTTTCCCAACTCACCTGGAAGGGTTCAGATGGAAAAAGACGATATAGGCTACATTCCTCATTATCCCTAGGGATCCAGTCGTACCTTCTCAGAAGGTGGAACTGGGATGGCTTTGGAGGGTCCAGTCGTGCCTTCTGAGGTTCGGTACGACTGGATCCCAAACGGGTATTGATTTCATTTGGCTTTTCACGGCCTTGGTCCGACTTCCTGCGAGGCTTCCAGTCGCTCAGCCAAGCGAATGGGCAAGGCGGAAGTGTCTCGGAGCCGTTTAAGGCGGCGGAGGTGTCTCGGAGCCCCAGTGGTTCACGTACCCTTTTGTTCATTTACCAACCAGACTCTATACAGGTCAATATGATCAATGACCGAAAACGAGAGACTCAAGAAGGTCGGACCTGTAGGGATTGATCATGATCATTTACAAGATCTCCATCACCATTGACCAAGCATTTACCATTCTTATAGATGAGTTCATGTTAATGATCTTCATTGAGCAGATGTTTTATGTTGATGAATTCAGCAGATCCCCCTGGTCGTGAACCACCAAGTTTCGGTGTATGCTACCGTACCTCTTGGGACATCATGGGTGTCAGCCACCCAGCACCCAGCATGGGTGTTCCACCCCGTGGTCCGTGGTCCGTGAGCTTCACTGTTTGGCTCATCCTGTTCACCTCATGCAGGTTTGAAGCATTGCACCTTATGATTAGATGGCTTTAGATGTCGATCCTCGTGTTTCTTCAATGTATTTGTTTTGTTTTGTAATAGTATGTAATTAGTAAACTAGTATATAATTAGTAGAGTTGGTTGGGTAGGCCCTAAATAGACATTGTTGGTCCACTTTAGGAGCGGCTATGGGCAAACATTGGGTCTGAATCATGTGTGGCGGAACTTTGCACACGGAGACCTAGACGTTGATCACTTGGAGATGGTTCCAAGTTTTTCGGAACGTCTACCAGGACCTGAGCCGTGACCGTGACCTCGGAGTCTCTGTTTGTCCAGTGGCTGTCTCTAGGGTCGAGTCGTGACGGACTCGGACCTTCAAGGAGGTCGGTCAGGAGGTCGGTCCTGGCTGCGCCAGGTATTGCTGGAAGAACAAGAACAATCGCCGGAAAAAAGAGTTTTGGTCAGATGTCAGATGGTCCTCAGTCCTCCGAATGAATTTATCTTTTGTCTTTCTTTGCTTGTATTGTGGGGTCGCCTCATGCTCAGATCGGTGTGAACCCCGTGCTCAGATCGGATCAGCTGATAGCTTTCTCCAAGTCCCACCAGTTCGGAGAGTCTCCCTCAACGTGAAACCAACACCCCAAACCCCACGATGTACCGGTCCACTGCCGGTCCACATCCGCTGCCACATCCGCCCGTCCTCCGCTGTGTGGTGGTGAGGTGAGAGTTTAGTGGGCTACAGCATTTTCGATGTGTGCTGCGGTTCGGGACCTCAATCCTTCAGCTGCCGCATGCAAGACGCTGTGCCTCGGCGCATATAGCTTTGAACGCGCCCGCAAGCGAACAGAAGACGGAGGCAGATGCGAGCAGAGACCCCCCGCCAGAATGCGCAATTCCAAGCGGGATCCGATTTTGTAAAACGGGTGCCTCAAACTGTGCACCTTGATCCAACCCGCCTTGGATCCAAGGGCATTCTCAAATAAGACTCCATCTTGGGGTAACCGCTTGGAGAACCGCTGCCAATGTGACTTTACAGTGATTGCGGTGCGGTGCGCTGCGCCTCTTTTCCACGTGCCTCTGGCGGCCGCGAATGGAAAGCCTGCGTTGGTCTCAAGTTGCACCAGCCAGCTCAGAGCGCGCGATCCAGCGAACCGGCGCGCGCGCAGTTGGCGCGCTTGGCGCGAGCGAGCGAGCGAAACGAGGTGAATGCGTTGGACGATGCTGCATCATCTCAAGATGTCTTCCTCCTCAGCACCTTGGCCGCACGGGTTCCGTCCAGGTCCCGAGCGGTGGCGTGACCGGTCTGAGTCCGGTCCAAACGCATCCAGTCTATGACATATATAGGGGATGACCATCCAAAAGCGTGGATGGGCCGCATCATAGTCATTGCTTGGTGTTTTCTTTTTTGTTTTTCTGGTGGTGATTTGCTATAGATTGGTGGCACCTCTACAGTGGCTACTGTCCTCACGCACAGAACCTTTATAAATGAGTTTCCCTAAGCTGCCTAAGCTTCCAGGCCCCACGGTCCGTCTGTGAGAGTTTCTGTGAATCCTTTTTCGGGTAACTCCTCTCAGCTCCGCTTTGGTGAATAGAGGGTCCATACGGAGGCGGGGTGAAGGCATTCATCTCAACATATAGGCATGCGGCATGCGTGTTTGGTCACGGGGGGATGCGGGATGGTGTTCCCAAAAGTGCATGCTCGCAGAGTCCAACCCATTTTGGTTGTGTTATTTTTTCCGCATGATGGGCCAGCTTCCATCGAACTCTGACGCCCTCGCGCGTAACATACGCGTTTTTAGCGAAGACAAAAGGACACACCGCTCCCTATAGGACCATATTTGCTGAGTGGGTGAGTTTGACGTACCGTCCGCAGGAAAGGTGGAGCTGTATGGTCGGGAGGTGGACATTGCCGTAAGCTTCCAGCAGGATACGTCGTCCTTGCGGGTCGATTGGGCGATTGGGTGAGGGGGCTCGATGGAAGGGGCTGAAGACATGCTCTCTGAAAGGGTATAGTGATGGGTAGTGAGTCATTGTAAATATAGCCAAGAGATGCCAAGAGTGTATATATTCAAATAATATAGTGTATAATACATAGTGAATTATAGTGATGTTCAAGTTGAAAGGCGAACATGGTAATCTTGTGTACTTGATGGTACTTATCACTTTATGAATGTTTCATCTTCAACCTATATATATATAAGTAGATTTCAGCATATTCAGGTTCCATTGCATTATATTCAGGTTCCATCATATTGTAGAAATTGGATGAATGGATGTTGATTTCATTTTGATTGCATAGCTCATATATGGTTCTATCTTCAAATCAAGAAGGCTTGTGAAGAACGGGTTTAAATCACATCTCTAGCTCGACTCCACCTATGAACACGTGAATAGCCTGCTGGGCCTGGTTATTATTGGGCCAGTGATGGAGGCAAAACACATGGCAGTTCCCATCAGTGGTGGGGATTCACCCATGCCAGCAGGTCCAATCAACTGGCAATCGGCTGATGATAAGCCGTGCTCTAGAGAGTGTGAAAAAAAACACCTTCTTCGACCAACTTTAGCAATAATGGTTTGGAGACGTTTGGAGGAAAATGCGGACATGTTTGATTAGCAAGGTATGCAGGAAAGGGGGAATTTGGTTACAATAGTTGTTTGAAAGTGTTTTTTTTGGATCTCATCTATGGGCTATGGGGGGGTGTCATTTTCACTGGCTGCACTGGTTTTAGTGTGCGACAGAAGGATCATATCCAAATGATAAATAGTGGCCATTGTTACAGGATGTTCTACTTACCACCTGGATATAGAACGGTTCTCAGTTCATGTTCTGGTCATTTTTCATGTGTGGTTTTCCTAGTTGTTTCTTTTCTGCCTGCCTAAGCAATGACGATCTCCACCTTGGATGCCGAAAAACTGGAGGACAAAATACTCGAGACCCTGGTCGGAAGTGTGGTGATCACAACTGAAATGGCACCTTGGGCTTGCATTTTGGATAACTTTGCTCACGTTCTCATCGAGCCACCAGGAGGTTCAAGGCTGTATATCATCCATTTACGCTCGGCTCTCTCAGGGAAATCCCTCGGGTTCCACAAACCTTGGAAGGTAGCTAAAATACCCCCTATAGCAGTCACCCAACCACCTTCAAAATAGAGATAATAGCTATGGTGAGGTGAAAAGCGTTGGCAGCCCATGTCACCTCCGTTGTTCCTGCAACGGGAAGCCCCCCCGCTCATTGCACCCCACTGAAAACGATCCATAACGATCCCATAGACTCTGAAAAAGCACAGCTAGAGGAAAACAGTCTGACTGAACGTGCCATGATCAGGGTCCATGGGGCAGTTAGTTTTCGGGAGTGTAAGTGGATGATGTCAAGTCAGTCTTGTGAGTGGATTGAGTTCCACTTGGAAAGTCGAGGGGATGATTGGATGGATGTCCCAAACACTCCATGGGACTGGCATATTTACCATACTTTGAGGTGGTTGACTGGGGCATATATGTATCTATTCATATATACCAGTCCCATTCGTTACTGACGGGTGTCTTGTTCTTATGGTTCTTGATCCGTTGGTCGATGTCCGGTCCTTTGACACCGGATGTCCGGTGTCCTTTCGTGGCCCAACTGGCGTCAACTCGTTTCCTCGCCTCGACGTGATGCAGTGTGGCAGTGTGCTGTTGCAGGCGGCGGCGATGGTGGCGATGGTGGTTAGTAGGTGCTGGTGACATTGGTTTTTCCAGCTTGCCTTTTCATGGCGGAACCAGCTGGGCATGAGCCGAAGTTGACTAACATGCGATCTGAGCAATAAGAAGGGCCCCTGGGAAGACTGTATTCTACAAGATCGTGGGTGTTCAGAAAGCATCCTAGTCTTTGGAGCTAGGGGTTGACATGTGGAATGCTTGAGATCCGTGGCGACTGCCATGACCGACTTCAATGGATGGGGTCTTTGCCTTTTGATACAAGGGCGAGTTATTTTTTTTCTAAGAACCACTTTTATTCTAAGAGAGTTGGATCTATAATATACTGCTTGAGCTCCCGAACTCCTTGGCTCAGGATGCTGAGTAGACAGGACGTGTCGCCTCATGGGGCGACACCGATGTGCCGGCGTTTGGAACCCAACGACCTCCACGACCTGCACTCAACCACCCCAACAGATCGGTAAATATGCCTTTCTCCCATGGAGATGGTCTGGGTCATTGATGTCTCTGCAATTCGCATGAAACCTATCTTTTTCTGTGTTCGAAACCCCGCAGAACATGGTCGACGCATCATCGCTAGACGCTGAATGGTCCCGCTCTCTCTCAGGACTTGCGGTCGACGCGGCATAATTGCCAGAAACGAATTTCCAAGAGCAGCACAGCCTCAGGTGCCCACGTGGTATACCGCCTTGGGGGGGGAGGGCCGCGACTGCCGGCGTCACGCGAGAGCTCCAAGAATGTGCCAACATGTGGTTCCAAGAATGCGTGGCATGCGGTCCGGGAGTGACACGTATTAATACCAGGACACCCTAAGAGGTGTCTTTTGATAGCCCCTTAGAGGTTAAGTGGTGTCCATTAGCCACCCCTTGTGGGTCGTAGTATGGGGCCGTGTTCTTTTTGCGTTGTTTGTTTTTCAGTGAGGGTTCATTGTTTGAGCGTGCGGTCACGGAAACTGAAGGCTGCAAAGTCAAAAGAATATGTTCTTTTATAACAAACATGGAAGTGGAACATTTTTCTTTTTTTGGAGAGAAACTGAGAGAAACACAGGCTTCAAAGAGGCCGCGTTCTACTTTTCTGTTTGTTGACGGGAGGACATGCTCCCTCCAACTTCAGGGCCGTCGGTAGATTTACATCCCTCAGGTATCCTCAGGTGAGAGTTTGTTTTGCTGAGTGCAGGGTAGTGATAGCAATCATTCTGAGCAAGATTGGATCAGATGTACCAAAGTTTTGGGAAGGTTATGATACCCTACAGGTCCAGTCGGACTTCTCCCCTGCAAATACACCCACACCTAGAACCTTTTTCAACCAGACCCACACCTAGAAGCTCTTTCAACCAGACTCACACCTAGAACCTCTTTCAACCACTGTACACCCATGGGATCCTTGGCGGGGATCTTCTGATCCTCCCCAACCGGCCGGAACGACGACGGGCGCCGGAACGACCCGCGCGGTCGTTCCGTCCACCAGGCGGTCGTCGACGAATGTCGGGCCTGCTTGGACGCACGTGCCTGTAAGACCAGGAGCGGCATAGGGTGATTTGGTGTTGAAACGAGACGTGACACTTATATACACTGCACTTATATACGTTGTTTTTGAGCAAAGAGACAACGTTACGTTGTTTTTGTCAACATCAATTGGTTCGGAACATGTTGAAACGAGACTCATCCGTGAAACTCATCGTTTCACCTTCTGTTGGAGAAGTACAACTCTTTGGTTTCTTGGCCAACGAAATTCGATCATCACCTGCCTCGAGTCCTTGCTAGTCCTTCCTGGAAACCCAGTCCCAACTGGAAATAAATAATCCGGTCCACCTATTGAAAAACACGCGCCCCCCGCCCCTAATAAGGAAACCTCGGCCGCCTTTTTTTTATAGGTGGTCCCTGAAATCGGGATGGTCCAAAATAGGGTCACCTGGGAAGGGCTTCAAAACCAAAAAGTCACCCAGGAAAACTTTATATAAAATCCTGAAACTCGATCAAAAATTCAAAAAACCTCCAGATCGAAGCGTCTTCCTTTTCCCCTACAAAAGCCTTTTTTAGAATAGTGATTCTTCATTAGACTAACAACTATATAAAGCTTTTGAAAGGTGATGTCGCTGTGCCATGCGGTTTTGCGTGACCTCGGTGGAAAGTGCGTTTGCGTGAGTCCGTGCCATTGGGGGAAGGAAAGCATGCTGGTGTAAACACGGCGTGTCATGGTGGATAGACAGGGTGGACAGAGGTGGGCAGTTACCGTTGTTTTTGGAACCTAATTTTTTCTAATCTCCTCCAAACTCGGCCATGTTGGTAGTTTAGTAGCGGCTTGAAAGGGCTGAAAGGGCGGCAATTTAAACACACATATAAGCCGTATTTAGGGGTTTCCGACAAGATTCTTTTACATAGGGGTCCGTTTTTCAGTAGGTACTCGGGATTAGTGGTTCCAATACGGCAACTGAAATCCTTTAGGCCTTTAGCTTGGGGAATCATCCATTTGTGCCTGGTTGGGACTGGGCTTGCAGGTTGGTCCTTTTGTACCGGTGGATCATTCAGCAAAGCCTCCCTCGACGCGGCATAGGGCTGGAATCACATGTTTGTGTGGGAGTAGGTACACCGGCCTACCCAGGAAATATGTGGATCACCTGCAGGTCAGTTCCCCCACTCAACATCAAGAGGTGGAAAGTCCGCTTCATCTTAAGTACAGGTGATGTCAATTGAAACTTGTGCGTTCACCGCAGGAGCTTCACGAGGTAGTTGAACCCCCCCATGTCTCAAATGCTGTTACTACTTTGGGGATGTGTCAGCGGTCAAAGGTCCATGCATGTAAACAATGTATATATACTATAAGACTGTATAGCATAGATGCATGTAAATGATTATAGATGCCTTTCTTGGCTAATCATTCTAGACAACTACATTTAGTAGCTAGTCCCAGATCGGCCCGGTTCTATGTGGCAAACATCCGCGCTTTCCTTTCCCTCCACGTCCAGGTCGTTCGTTCGAAAACGGTCGGCTCGGTCAGCTCGGCTCGGGGGCAAGCAAGCAGTCCCGGACACACATGGGACTGGTACCGTTGAGCACCTCGGAAAGGTGGACTCACCCCACAAGCCCACCACAACCACCTTCGAAGGATGTGGTTAGGAGTGCTAGGTGCTGCTAGTGATTCCTTAGCACATCTGAAAGTAACACCAATGCGGGTATGTATGCCAGTCCCATGGAATGTTGGGGATGGGTCATTGGACCGGCTTCATGTTGGATCATTTTTGGAACCGCTGGCACGCCCCCCCCCAAAAAAAGTAACAACAACAGCCACAACAACAGCAACAACCACAACCACAACCACAACCACGACAACAACAACAACAACAACGACCATAACCATAACCATAACCACAACCACCAAACACAAACAGGAACATGCGTAGAATTGTGAGGTCTCCTTTTGACACCACCATTTTTTAAGGGGCTCTTCACCACCCAAATTCCGACGCTGGGGAGAAGCATGGTGTCGGGAGATCGCAGGAGTCGTCGAATGTGTTTTTCCGCTGGTGACCTGAGTCGCTGGGAGTCGCGCACATGAATGACTTGTATTAAGAAGCATCCGCCTGGTAGCATGGCAGTCTTGTGTCACATGGCAGGATCAAACAGCATCGGGTGTCACTGGTGGTCCAGAAGTGACGAAGGAAGCCTCAAGCAGCTAGGCGGCGGGCTTCAGTCCGTAAAGGCCGAAACATATCCACGGCTGTTGGTTTTTGCGTTGTCACTGTTACAGTATGATGTCTATGATTGTCTATGACTCAATCGTTGAAATCATGTGTTGAAGACCTCTGTTGAATCCATTCGTTGAATATACGTTATTAAATGTCCTTTGGCAACTTCATCTGGACAGGCGCGTGCTCAATTTCTGGACATGTGGGTCAAAACTTACTGCCTTCCAATGGCCCAATGGCATCATAAGGGCAGAAACATCTGCACATGCTGCAACATTCACAGCAGGAATCAGTCAGCGGAACCCTGGCCCCCTTTGCAACATGTATATGCTGTTCCATCCGAAAGTGATACAAGTAGGGGCCGACTTCGGGAGGGTCTGGCATGTGGTTGGGACCATGTGGCTATGCCATAGAGTGGCTGATCTGCTATATATTGTAATTTAATTAATTTATAGCTATGTTGGATGCATTGCCTGGCAACCAAGCTACCTGGCCAGCCTGGCCATGTGACAATTCGATGATTTGGAGCACCATCCATCGTGTTGCCCCACCATCAGGGCTCAACAAACCCCCCAGTTGGGTGTCTAGCAGGTGGTCATGGTTATAGATTCCAAGTTGGGTATACCCGGTAGCAGACACGAGCCAACGACTCCAGTCCCATCGTCCCTGAAGAAACACCAAGAACCGAAGAACCGCCCCCCCCCGCAGGTCATCTCCAGCCACTTGGACCTGTGGTCCCACCGAAAACGACCTGTGGTCCCACCGGCTTTCGATCCATATATGACTTTGCTCGGACAAGCCATTCAACGTCAATGTCAGTGAACAACCTCATTTTGCTGGTGTAGGTCATACAACATTTTCTAATTTTAGGGCCAGGTGGTATTTGAGTGTGTTTGAGTGGGTCAGAATGGAGCGACACAAAGGAGCACCCTTGAACTGGGAATGTTCCCTGCAGGGCCCTCAAATGCGTGCGGCCATGGTGGATTGGTGGACGTGATCGCCTCTTTTGTTCGCATGTCTGGAAGAACTCCATGGCCACCTCCTGAGAATACAGGTGTGGCAGCGGATCGAAGAACGAGGGTGCGATTGGAGGGTGGCCATCCCGTGAAGGAGGGTCACCTGAGTCATGTGATGGTTGACCAATGCCCTACGGCCCTACAGATGCTGAACCACAAAGGCATTTGGAGGCACCTCACGAGGCCTTTTTGTGGATCGAATACCCAAGAGGTGGCGAGTATGTGAGGTGAGGCACAGAACGGGATGCTGGAAAAGGGGCCTGAGGACCCAATCAGTTGATCTTTTGCTGAAGACATGACATGCAGACGTTCTTTCCTGAATCTATTCAGTAGTTCACGGACCAGCGATCTTGAACACTCCCGTGCGGCAGCAACCTCTATTCCCATGTGAATACCCGGGTGTGTATTTTAAGTCAAATAGGGAGACCTCCCAAAGACCCCCACTCAGCTTGTTAAAATACACACCCATTTGTTGAAGGATGTTGACGGTTCATGCATGAAAATGCCTTGGGTAACTATCATAGACGATTGACGTTGCTGCGTTCATGGTGTTTTGGGATATTGTGCATCCCAAGAAATATCAGGGGGCAAGGAACGAGGTTATGATTTGATTCAACAAGTCTCAGATGAGAGGGCCAGTCTACAGTGTTACTCACAGCAAATCTCCATTTTGGGAAGCAATGGAATCATGCGTCCCATGCCTTTCCGAGTCCCACAGTCATGATCCTGAACTAGTCCCAAAGTCACGATGCGGAGCTTGCATTTAAAGCATTCTTTGTGGCCCGGGTTGCTCTCAGGTCCCAGCATGTCCCGTACTGCCTGTCCAACTGCGTGCCATGTGGCGATGTGTCGCATGTGATGTGGCACGAATTCACCCAGCAGGAAGATTTGCTGAGCTCACTCAGCATATGGCACGAATTCACCGGGAGGGCGATTCAGCGCGATTTAGGGCGATCTGTGTCGTTTCAACAATTGTGTTCAATGGTCCCTTTCAATCAAGAACGGGTGATTTTGGAGTTGATGGTTCCTACCCTAAGAATTTCTGGGCCCTCAAATGGAAAGGGTTTTAGTTAAGGATTTATAGGGATTCTTAGGGTACACCATTTGGATGTGTATGACCATGTATGACATTCATATAAGCTTCCCACGACTGAAACTGATCCGCTTCACCAGATGAACACAGTCAGCTGACGCCCGTGGCGTCAGAAAACGGAGGTCCCCAGAGATGAAAAGGAGCAACTGAAAACACACCCTGCAAGAGACCCGCATGGAACCTGAATACCACTGGGTTGTAGAGGAAAGTAGTCTTCCAAATGTCCATCATATTCAGGTTCCATTTATGTTCTTCCCGGGTGTAACAGAACATGCGACAGGCTTGGTTTTGGATCAGCTTTTTCTGACACGTGTGGACACTCTTTCAATGAACACCTACAATCCCCATTCTAAGCCGTGTTTAGGGTGAATCTTCCTGCTGCGGTTTTCCTTTTCATTCCTTTTCAAAGCTCCAAAAAACACGATTGCTTCACGAGAACCAGCTCCACACCCTGCGTTCGATGGTGCCACCGGGGCAGCTCAGAACACCCGCGGAGCTTCCCCCGGACGCATGGGGAGCCACCCTGGTCGAGCACGAATGCCGCGCTGGTTGAAAGGGTGTCCGCGTTTTTCGGAGGAAGCAGAAGGGTATGATTTTGCACTTGGGGAATTGGAGGCAGTCATTTAGAGAGTAACCATTTTGCCCCTATACTAATTGAATAAATTGTTTAAGCAAGAGCTAGTTGGATTCGATGTGCTCCATAATCACGTCCCTTGCAATTTGGCAGAACTGGTGTGCACATGTGTTCACAACATCTTGGAAGAGCTACAGTGTTTTCCATTGGGTTCACCGCCCCCCCAAACACCATATGGTTCGTCTCATCTCACGCTGTTCATTCCAGCAACATCATGCATCAGCTCTCGTCCGCCTGGCTCGGAGTACATCGATGTACGCCGATCCGCCATGGGTTGATGCTGGAAGACCCCAACTGCTCTATGGATCTCAGCGCAACTAGGCATGCAGGAAGGGTTTGGTGGATGATTCTGCTTTGCCCTTGGTGGCTCTGGGGTGGATGGAAGCTGCAAAACGGCAAACATGTGGGCAGCCATACTAAAATTAGGGTTTTCCAATTGGGGCTTTCAGCCAGACTAAAATTCCCGGACAAATCAAACGGATTCAAGCGATTCTATTATTATGGTGTTCCAGACTAAAATCAGGGTGGGTCCAACCAAACCACTTACAACTCGCTTCCGTGCATGGTGCAGAGGGGGCTAGAATATGTCACTCCCCAAACTCCCAAATTCAGTCCCTACAGCCCAGTGAAATCAACATCAGGACTTCCTTTGGCCTGGTAGCAGGTGCACTGCCTCTGGAGCACACCTTAAGAGGATGGATTCCCACGGATGAAATAGTTGACTCACAAAAAAAATATCTTACTTGCATTCAGTAGTTGACTGATGAGTCAATGAGTTGTTCTGAAAACCTATAGTTGATGGATTCCCAGATTCCCAGCGGTTGGTTTTCACAACAACGCACCAGCGAGGAGCGAATGCTTTCGAGAAGATCTGGTCCGGGCCTGCAGATCCACCAGCCAAGGTAATGTATAGTGGTTCAGGGCTGGTAAAAGAGCAGGCTTGGTGGTGGTCCAGTGTCTTTTCTTGACGTTCAAAGTGATCAATATCTTCAACTAGGGGGCTTGACATGTTAGTTTCTTGTTCGTTTGTCAGGTTAACTGTCATGTCAAGCCCTTAATTAAACTGTCCAATGTCCTTTCTTGACTAGATTGTTTTCTGGGGACAATTAGACTGAATTTGGAGACTTGTTGCAGCCTGTAGCACTGTAGCGTGCGGAGTGTATGGGATTTCGAAGAGGCCAGAAAAAGAGAAACAATCGATGCCTTCCACTTGGTGAAACCGGGTTTTGTTCCAATGCTGCCACGGAAAAGGTGCTTGACCGGGCCAAGAAGAGCTGAGGCCGAGAAGATGCTTATGATCTATGCAGCTTGTTTGTTTGGCAAGATTGAGTTGCTGATATCAACAAAACTAGACGACGGTTGGCCCGAGAGCGAGACATGTAATTGTCCAGCACTGTCGAAAAGATGTATAGAAAGAGAGAAAGAGAGGGTGGATGTGAAGGAGTGACAGTGTGATGTGCAGGTGCAATATGGATCTGTAGATGTATGGAGGTGGAGAGGTAGATCTGTGGATGTGAGCGTGCGAAGATGTAAATGCACAGAGACGAGAGAAAAGATATGTACTGTGGAAAGAAAGAAAGACAGGACAGATGTGAAGGAGCGACAGTGTGGATGTACAGATGTGATATAGATGTGCAGATGTGTGGGTGTGGTGAGGTGGAGAGGTAGATCTGCGGATGTGAGCGTGTGAAGATGTAAATGTAGAGAGGTGAGGGGGTGTAGACGTAGATGCGTCGATGCAACGGCAGTGCAATGTCAACCTTAGTTGTGCAAGTACAACGCTGAAGAGGTTCAAATAGAACTGAAGAACGTACATTTCACACTGAAGTTTCCACGAACATTGCGACCTGAGAGTAAACGACGTCACGATCATGACAAGCGACTCGTGTATTCCAAGCGAACATCGTTTGTCATGAAGGTGAAGTACACACGTACTAACATCACGATGACTCTTTTGTGGCAGCCACTTATGAGTAAGCAAAGTAGCCAAAATTTGTCAACCTCTCAAGAGAGCCGGGTGGTCGGGAGACATGACTCAGCTGCAGGGGCACCAGGGCAGCCGCGAGAGATGACTCAGCAGCGAGAGATGACTCATCCGCGTACTAAAGTTGTACTACAAAGTCGCCAGTTCTCAGCTTCCAGCTCCACAGCTTGCTCCGCGTACTAGAGTTGCACTAGAAAGTCGCCAGTTCTCATCTTCCAGCTCCCCAGATACTCCGCGTACT